TCCTGCCCAGATGGCAGGCAGTAAACTGTGCAAATGCTGTTTAGAGATTGCTTGTCTTGGTCTGAACAGAAACAGGAAAACTGGCCTAGTTATACTACTGCTATTAGATGCCTATAATGAAAGTAACTGACACAGGGGGAAACAATTTAAAATAAACAGGTGTTTCAAAACTGATTTAGTTATGCACATTAATTACAGAACTCGCAGCACAGATATAAGTGATTATGTCAATCTTTGTTTTTCAGGATTACAGGGTTTGCCGAATTGATTTGTACACAGAACGTGAAGGGTTGGGAATCGTGACTTCCTTTTTTGACGACACTGAAGAAACAGGGGTGTTCGGCACCACTCAGAAGACTTGTTCTATCAAAGTGCACTGGGGCATGTGAGTGCATAGTTCTGTATGAACACGTACTGCTATGAATGGAATTTTTTAAACCACTGGTTACACCTATCAGACGTGTGAGCAGGCTATATTTATTCTAGTCCTATATTTTGGTAGTATTTGTTGACAGTAGTATTAGTACATCGTTGTAATGCTTCACCCTTGGAGAGGCTGACCTCTTAAAATGTTTTGCTAGAGCCAGTTTTTCTTCTTGCATGTAGTAAAGACAGAGTAACCCTGGTGTATTTGTAGCAAATGAATGGGTTTGCCTCTCCTGCTCTTTCTCATTCAGGCAAACTTACCACAGTGAGAGTGGGGGAATGAGCTGTTAGTAGGAGATGTCATCTTACCCTTGCTTTCCTCTAAACTTGAAATCATTGTACTAAACGAAGAAAATTTTCAAGCCTTTGTGTTACAAAATCAGACTGGGTGTTATGTGTGGACTCTGGAAGGCATTTTTGTATTTCACAGTGCATTTTAATCACTGGTGATGTGGTGAAGTTTGGGACATGTCACCTGAAAATATCTAGCCATCTGAGTCAGGTGTGTAATGTATGTCATGAACTAAGCAAGCTTTTATGAGAATGGAGACCTCTGAGGAACAATCCAGACACTGTTCCAATCACAGTTTTGATAAGTTAATAAACAAACTTGTAAATTGGTACTGAAAATATGCCTCGAAGTGGTACTGGGAAAAGCATGCGGAAGAGGGAGACCACTTTCAGAAGAAGCACGAGGGTGGACTCACTTTCAGTGATGTTGGGTCCTGCAGAACATTTTACAGGATGTGCGGACCTTGGTTGATACCTGCTGGCCCTGTTGTGTTTGGGCATTGATAGCATTTGCTTTGCTGCAAACGGTCTATTTAAGTATCAGAAACTGCCCCGCTAAGGACAGGTGTTACATAGCACTGCCAAGATGTACTGAAATATGCCACATGATAGATGGGGCATTTTAGTTGTTGGACAAAATGTATTTTATCTGATCAAATCCCTACACCTTAATTTTGGAAAAAATGAAGCATTTAGCTGTGTAGGAAAATTTTAGATGTCCAAGTAGTTGGTTCTCTGACAGGACATTATTCCTGTTGAACTGCAAGCTTAATCCAAATTACATGTCTGCCAAGAGTAATGAAATCAGATATGATATTTGAGGTTGATTTTTAATTGACTTCATCTACCTCTCCATTTTATTTCTGTCCCTCAGTTAAAAGCATTATGTGAACAGTGAAATTACAAAATTTTTTGAAAGGAAGCAGAGCCTGTGCACATCTCTCAGACTTGGCCTTACTTTGCATCAGTGTGAGTGAGGTTTTTTGCACTAAATCTAAGTAAACTCTTACAGTCTTAATCCCTCTGTTGTATTTGGATCCCTTGAGGGAAGGCAGACTAATATTTGCACCAGGAAGCAAAACAGTTGAAAATAATCTTTCTCAGGTGTCAGTTCACTAGTCCAGTGTAGAAAAGAAGTCACTTCTGCCAATTGCTTGCATGAGCAATTCAGTAAATTGTTGCTCTTTTTTTACATAGAATCATAGAATTGTTTAGGTTGGTGAGAAAGTTTTTAAGATCAAGTCCGATCATTAACCCAACACTGCCGAGTTGGCCACTAAACCATGTCCCTAAGCACCGCAGCTACACGAGCATGTTGCAGGGTTTTTTTCTTTCCTTTAGTTTCCAGGCATGGCGTAGCTCACTGTGTCGGCAGTTGAGGGAGGCTCTGATTCTGAGTCACCTTGCCATGTGGGTGTGGTTGTATCTTCTTAAAGTTTCGCAGTGTTCATGCTTAATTGTTGTTTACTAAAAGCTGCCAACAAAAATGAGTCAATGCACCTTTATCTTTTGATTGTACCCTCTCCTTGGTCTTCCATGTGTCTAAATTCTTGCAGTGAAGTTAGAATCATAGGATCTTTTAGGTTGGAAAAGACCCTTAAGATCAAGTCCACCACTAAACCAAGGACAAGTACCACAGCTACATGTCCCTTAAATACCTCCAGGGATGGTGACTCCACCACCTCCCTGGGTACATCTTCCAGTGCCTGACAACCCCTTCAGTGAAGAAATTTCTCCTAATATCCAATCTAAACCTTCCCTGGTGCAACTCGAGGCCACTTCCTCTTGTCCTGTTACTTGTCACTTGGGAGAAGACACCAACACCCACCTCTCTGCAACCTCATTTCAGGCAGTTGTAGAGAGCGATAAGGTCTCCCCTGAGCCTCCTCTTCTCCAGGCTAAACACCCCCAGCTCCCTCAGCCGCTCCTCACAGCGCTTGTGCTCCAGACCCTTCCCAGCTCCGTTGCCCTTCTCTGGACACGCTCCAGCACCCCAATGCCTTTCTTGTAGTGAGGGGCCCAAAACTGAACACAGTATTCGAGGTGCGACCTCACCAGTGCCGAGCACAGAGGGACAGTCACTTCCCTAGTCCTGCTGGCCACACTGTTCCGGATGCAGGCCAGGATGCTGTTGGCTTTCTTAGCCACCTGGGCACACTGCCGTCTTGTGTTCAGCCGGTTATAGACCAACACCCCCCATGTCCTTTTCTGCAGGGCAGCTTTGCAGCCACTCTTCCACAAGCCTGTAGCGTTGCAGGGGGTTGGTGTGACCCAAGTGCAAGACCTACTGAGTGGTGTGACTACAAGATACACAATATATCAAACGTTTGGCTATAGATATCAATGAAACTAAAGCTCCTTGTTTGTTTTTGGAACTGTATGTCTGCAGTGAAACTATACCGACTTGTGCCACTTTACATCAGCTTGGAATCTGCCTTTTAAGCATGATAGAGTGATGGTTTGATTTTAACATCTTTCCGATATTATCAGACTTACACATTATGATCCCTTACATGCATAAAAGTTTGGCTGTATAAAGTGCTCCTCTTTCTGTATTTTATACTGCTCCGTGCCGCACTTCTGAGAGAACAGTAAATTTAAAAGGAAGAAATACATTGGCAACCTTATGCAGAGATCAGCAGTCTGTTTCTTTGTTTTCAGTGGGTGATTACTGGCTGAGATTTTCCTGAAAAATCTTTGAAAAACTACTGTTGCTATTCCAATCAGGAATTTTGGAAGTTGTCTTTCAAAACAGATTTATTAGCAGATACAAACCACAAGGAAGTAGATTTCTAAGGAGTTTTCAGGTTTATCTACATGTTAGTGAATAACACAAGTTTAGCATTTTCTGTTGAACAATCATTGCAACAAATCCCACCCTGGGTTAGTAGTGATCTTTCTACTTCTTGAAGATTGCTTCTGCATATTTTAAAGTTATTCTAAAAAATAATACAATGTAACCTTAGGTCTTGAAACTCCAGTCTAAATCTTGGGGTTGTCTTCAGATAAGAGAGAGTCAAATTCTTAACTCTATTGTACTGGTTTTTAGCCTGTTTGAACAAAACGGAGGCATTATTGGTGGTTCCTGCACAGGCACAGAAGTTTGCCAGTATGCCAGCTTGTAGTTGGCAGTTTTGATGTCTTTTCTGAAGTTAAGTATGTTGTCTTGTTATTTACTGTTCAGAAACATTCTGGGGGTTTTTTATCTTTTGCTTTCTTCCCCACTGCCCCCTTTAGATGGCTAATTTATGAAGAACCTGGTTTCCAGGGAGTGCCGTTAATGCTGGAGCCCGGTGAATATCCTAATTTAGCATTCTGGGAGAAGAAGGAAGCCTACATTAGGTCCATGAGGCCCTTGAAAATGGTAAAATACTGTTATTACTTGCAAGTTACATGACCCATGTTTATGTATTAGTAATAATATGTTAAGGTGGCCTGATTTTTTTGAGACTCACAAAAATGTAACTATTTAAACCCTAAAAATTTTAGTCTGTAAGATTCTTTAACTTTTGAATGCATCCATTTCTGTCTTTAATCTGCTTTCTTTACACTTGTGTTCTTCAAGGAAGGCTTCATCTTATTTCTGTCTGTGTGAAAAGTTGATGAATCTTGTACTTGCCTGTGTTGTCTAATTAAGTAGGAACAACTTATTTTTTCTTTTAATTTTTTTTTTAACAGGGTGGTCGCAAAGTTGAATTCAGTGGAGAGCCAAAGGTAAAAGTCAACATTTATTTGACTGTTCAAAGGTGTTTTATAACATGCAAACTACACACGGGTAGATAAATGTATCTTGATCATGTACCAACTACCGATGTTTCAATGGCTGGTCCAACATTTCTGTCATGTTTATGTATCCATCGCATACATATATGACAGTATTAACAGCTATCTCAGTAATGCAGATGGGTAATGAACATTCAGGTCCTCATGTTGCATCTCTAAAGGAAAGACCTTGAAGAGAATAGAGAGATCCCACTCAGTTTCATAATCTTGCCTTCTCCCTCTATGTTCCCATGCAAAAGAAACTGTCTATTTTCAGAATTTGTTACGCTCTCTGCAACTTTTCTTCTACTTCATTGCTGCTACAGGTAGTCATTTATGAGAAGCCTTTCTTTGAAGGCAGACACGTGGAATTAGAGTCGGAGGTCTTCATGCTGGATGACAAGGAATCAGAAGGAAAGACAAGACTTCCACTTAAATCAGTGGGATCCATGAAAGTACAAGGAGGAGTGTAAGTGTGGAAAAACACCAGCAATATTTCCCCTTCGGGTGGAGCAGTAATTCCATAGGTTGGAAATTGCAGTGGACAAACTCAGTAGCATTATTTTCTCTATTTTCCTAGTTTGTGGGTTTAGATATATGTCTGTGTACATTTGCAAATAAGCAGCAAAAGAACAAATTTTAGACATCTGTATCTGCTCCATAGCAACACAGAGTGGCAGTTGTCCGTTTTCACATGCAGACTCTGTTGTTGTTTAGTTGGGTTGCTTATGAGAAGCCTGGATTTGAAGGCCACCAGTACTTGCTGGAAGAAGGAGAGTATCGGGATTGGACAGACTGGGGCGGCTACGATGAAGAGTTGCAGTCACTGCGACCGATTTTTGGCGTAAGTTCCCAGAACACGTAGTAGGCATCTCCTGAGTGCCCTGCGATGTCCATGTGGCATTTTCCTTATGATGCTTCTCTTTGTTTTAACAGGACTTCACAAGCTCCCATATGATAATGTACAGTGAAAAAGACTTTGGATCAAAGGGTTCCAATATTAATGTGTTAGGAATTATTTCCAATTTGAAAGACACTGGATATGGGCTGAGGACACAGTCCATAAATGTGCTAAGTGGCGTGTAAGTGATACTTTTAATCTCTGGGGTTTTTTTAATGTGCTGTTCTTTTTGGAATTTGATAGTGTTTGCAGGTGTTTTTCAGCACTGACTTCTGATGTCTGTGTGGAGCCTTCAGATAAAGTTTTCTGCCCTTGACTGCAGAATGTGAAAAGTAAAGTGTTTGTGAACATGTACAGTAAATCGGTTTTCTTTTCATAAGACCAGATGGTCCCAGGAACTGTTGACTACTGATACACACAATATGAGATGACATTTCATCAGAGAGGTAGAAATAGCTTGTTCTCGTGGCTGTATTTTGTTTAAAAGCATTTCAACAGCAAAATTGTTATGGAACTAGTTTCCAGTTTTGAAACTAATTTCCAGGCTTCTCATGTTTGACCAGAGGCAAATTCCTTGCTCTTTCTCTCAGTCGTGTGTAAAATGGAGATAACTATTACCATGCTTACTTATGCATTCTGATATTAAGGAGACTTTAAACGTTCTGAAAAGTAACATTGCTTTTGCAGTGAATCCTATAGGTTAATAGTGTTTTGGTATTGTGGTGCTGGTTTTTTGTTTTGGTTTGTTTTTTTTTAAGCACAGTGGTTCCCGAAACTTTGCATTGGCATGGCCATTAAGATCTCTCTGTGCCACATGTGTTGTCACGTGCAGTTGATAAGCTGATGGGCTTTGCTGTTTGATTTGTTCAGTACATCAATTGCAGATTGAGTTTCACAGACTGCATCAAAGTATTTTGGAAATACAAATACTAGCGGTCATGTCTTCAAATATACAAAATTACTTAAAGTAGTAAAACCAAAAGAGTATGAGATGTATGGTCTTCAAGGCCAGGGTGGACGAGGCTTTGAGCAACCTGGTCTAGTGGAAGGTGTCCTTGCCCATGGCAGGGGGGTTGGAACTAGATGGTCTTTAAGGTCCCTTCCAACCCAAATCGTTTTGTGATTCTATGAGTCTCTCTCTCCCTGCCTGATATGCAGGTGACTTGATGAAAGCTCTGCCTTACCCAGCCACACCCCAAACCTTCCTGTGTGTTATCTGTATGATATCTCTGCAAGTTTTGTCTGGATAAAGATTGCAGAGTCAGGCTCAGTGCATTCCAGAGGAATGCTTTTAATTTGTGTATTAACATGGTGCGACAGCAGGTTTTTTTCTGCCTGGTGACCTTTGAAGCTGCTGTGTCCTTTTGTCTTCTGTAATATGCGAGGGAGATTGATGGGAAGGAGTCACCTGTGAAGGTTGGGAAACACATTGTGGGTTACCTATCATGCTGTGTAGTTGTTCTAGTAAATGTCTGGTGCAGCTGAGATAGGAATCTTACTTGAGTTTGAGTATTCTAGTAATTAAGAGTGACTTTAGTACTCTGATGGTAAGGGTGGCTAGAAGTCATTACAAACCAACCTCTTGTCCCACAGACTCTCCTGCTGCTCCTGTAATTTCACCTTGTAGTCTCTTGAAGATGTAACTTGTAGCAATAAGCTTTTTAAAAAATTGAGGTGCGTTGTTCGTAACTGGCGACTAGCACTCAGCTCTTTAATCTTCTACGACCCTTTTGTGTCCAAAGAGGTTGTGAGTGGTGGGGGGTTTTGTGGTGGTGTTCTTACCAAATGCTAATGTGTTAGAAACATCAAGTGATTCATGTTTAGTCATGCTTGGTAATAAAATAATTTATTAAGTGTTAAGAAACTGTTCAGGTATAAAACTTTTACGTATTTCCTTCCAAGAAATCAGTCATAGAATGATGAATAAACCATTGAGCAATTTCCTGAGCTGTTTAGACTGTAATGTAGATGATGTAACAGTGAACTGTGACAGATTCAGTAAAAGCTTGTCGTCATATTTTGAAGCAACCTTCCTGGTATCATATTGAAAATACTTCATTAAAAAGAAAAGTCAAAAATATAAGAAACCCTGAACCTTTCCTAGCAACTTTTTAACTACAGATACCTGGGGTAAGCAGTTATAGCCGTAACAGATAACAGATGATCTGTATTTCCCACATAATTAATTTGATTGCTCTGTAATTTAAAGGGCATATCAAAGAAAAGAAAGCCTGACACTGCAGTGCACATATTACTACTGGGCAGGTTCTAAGCTAAACTGCATCTCTAAACTGTAGGCTGAAGACAGTCCAGCTCTTCATTTGGGGAGTGAATACTTCATTTTGGGGTAATCGAGTGCTAGCTGCATTAAAATTTTCAGCTATTGTGTTTCTGGAGAATGTTTCCAAGCAATATTTTAAGGTCTTTGCTAAATGCATTGTAAAGACATTCCCCCAAGAAATATCCTAAGTTGATGAGGACTGACTTCTTTAAAAATGAAGATGTCTTGAGCATTCTTCAGATTTTTATTCTTCAGAATAAAAAAATCCAGGATATTTTATTCTGAAAATAGGAGAGGCCTTTCTTCTTCCAGGTAGGGTTTGATCTTTACTTCCAAATTGGCAGAATTTTAAGTGGCGGGAAATGGAAGTATTTGGTAGCAACGGGTAACACCCTTTACAAGTTTAAGCAAGTACTAAAATCAACTGCTGTACAATTTTGATTACCTCTTTGCTCAAAAACTCTTCAAGCTTATATTTAATAGTGATCAAAGTCACAGGAATTGCATGTTTGAAATGTGCCTTTTCTTTATCCATAAACACACCAAATCTTTGCCAAAAATACTGAAAAAGCCCCTGTCTCTTGGTTGATCCCTTTTGAACTTGGTGGAAGAAATTTTCCAGATTTGGTTTTGTGGTTTTTTAATGTAGGCATTTGTTTCACTGTGGTCCTGTAATCAGCCTGGTTTTCCCCTAATTTTCAAGTAATTAGTCTACAGTGCAGATTTGGCTGCTTCTAGCGTACATATGGATAGTGGAAGGGAAATCTCTAGGTGTTGAGTAGTTCATATATAGGAGCTGGAGTGTCGTAGATTCAGTGTAGATGCACGCGGGAAGGTAACAGGGAAAACTAAAGAGACACGAGGGACAAGGACAAACCTCCACTGGGCACTGAAAGGGGTGAGAGCCCTTAGGTACCCTGTGGGAGAACATTTCAAACAAAGCTTCTACTTCCCTCCATCTCTGAACTAACCTGAACTGACATTTGAAAAAACCTTTCAAGGAGTCACAGAATTAAAGTTTGCAGGTCCCTGGGTTACTAGCAATCACAAGCATGAAGGGAAATAATAAAAAAATCCTATTTTCTCTCTTTCCTATAAATATAGTTTTATTACCTCATCTTCTCTGTTAATCATGCAAGTGCCAGTTAATTTCCTGGTCCCTCATGGTCTATGTGATTAGCAGGTATAGGCCAATTTAAACCCATTGCCTCCATGTAGTATTTAAGCTTTAAAGATTGTGGATTCTATTTCAGACCTAAATGACCACCTGTTCCTGAAAGATTACTTTTTACAACATGGCATTTAGTTTAATGAAGGTGTTGCCATTTCTTCCATGGCTGAGAGAGAAGGTCCTTCCAGGATTTAGATAATCTGTCCTATCCTAAAATGAGTTTGAGCAATGTAAAGAGGGGGATTAACCCTCTCAGCTAGCGTTAGAAAGTGCATACGTGATGAGAAATGGCCAGTGTTTAAAAAGCTAGTTAGGTAAGATGAATCCCGAGCTAACTGTGGACAAAGCTGATTTTTGGCAAGTTATCTGTATCAGGGTTCTTTGCTGGACTGTTCTTCCAGACCCTGTTTGGAGCTGTGCTTCCCAGGCATCATACGTAGAAGGCTTTGGGGAAAGAAACTCTGCGTGTGGTGATGCCAACGACGTTATCACTGACGCTTTTCTCGACGTCTCTGTTTCCAGGGGCACGGATGGTGTAGAGGGCCAAAGGTCTCCAGCACCACCCTGCCAGCAGTCTGGGATGAGGCTGTTGCTCAGCCCAACTAAGGCAGTTTGTAGAGCTGGGGGTTACAAAAACTGTTGTGTTAGGAGAACTCGCTCCCTGTGGGGCAGGGTGGTTGTTGCCATGCTGCAGAGCAGTACTCGAGTTCTTGTGGTGCCTGGCAGCTGGGATGTGACTCTCTGGCTCAGATGGGGAAGAGACGTCCTGCTCTCCAGGCCTTTCTGTTAAGTCAGAAGTTGGATTAAGGCAGTGCTCCTTCCTAGGGGATAGTCTTGAGGTCTGACAGGTGTAGCTGGGACTGAATTCAGCTGCCTGTCCTTGATGATGTTGCTGCTTTCGGCAGCTTGTACAGGCTTCTGAATGAAGTGAAGAAGCACAGGTATTTCACCAAGAAGCCCTGACTCAAGAAACTCTCTAACCCATGGGCTGACGTGCATGGGAGAGTGGTACTTAAATCCCATTGATTTCAACATTAAATATGTGCAAGTGAGATAATGACTACTTCTGTGTTCAGGCTTCTTTTGAGAGGGAGGGGAAACGAAATAACTGCTATCCAGAGATTCTTAGGAGGCATCTGGCATGGTTTATCATTCACTTAATAGCAGAAACACTTGTTTGCATGGACGTCAATCAAGTTAAACTGTCAGGCACTGTAGTTGTACCCTGGCATTTGCACATTTCAAAATCTAATGAATGTCTGCTGAAGAAATGGGTTATGGAAACCTCATTTTCAGTTTTTGGTATGTGGCATACAGGTATAGACACATCTGAGACATTTGAACTGTCTGCTCAATTTATTGTACGTCTAAGTCTCTGATGAATTACTGTGAGGTGACTTTGAAATGTGCCTTGAAATATGCCCTAAGTAATTAGTGCATAACAGGTTAGAATAATTGATTATGTCTGAGGCAAACCAATAGATGTGAATAGTGATAAATGTGAATCACCATATTAGAGTTTGCCATGGACAGATAACACAAAGCTCATGCTCTCAGCGTGTGCATGTTGATGCAGCTTTATTTCAGTTTGACGTTATCCCACTTCTTATATCTGCAGATACCCTGGCATTTGTTCTTGGAATAAAACTGCATATTAATAGAATCCAGTTTCTTGACACACATAGATCATGTTATGGTGAATTTAGATGGTGAGAGTTAGCCTCCACTGCAGATTAGAAGTTCTCTATCATTTTACTGCTTTAAGATGTGAAATTTTTTATTAGTGTTGAAACTCTGTAAGAGTTTCTGGAACTGGAAGTGAGGTTTGGCATAACCAGGTATACACTCATTATTCAACGCATTGGCTAAAATGAAAAGCTGGTTGACTCTGAGTAGAAGACTATCTTGTAGAACCAGGAGCCAGCAAGATGTCCTGACCCCTGTGTAAATATAATGGATGAAACTCAGCTCTACTGTGGCCAGTTCTAATATCAGCACTCAAAAAAAAAAAAAAAAAGAAAAAAAAAAGATGAGTTTAAAAAAGAACCAGGATGTAATTATGGGAAAGTTTGGGAAGTCTAGCAGTGAAAGGCAACAGAAGTTATGTAGGTTATCACAAAACCGAAGGTAGTGCCAATGTGGGAATACTTTATCTGGGCTTTCAGTGTCGAGCCAGGGTTAGACCAAGGCCATAATAGAACGTTTATTGACTCTGCATAGCAAGGCTAGCTGATAGCAGATACTTCAGACTAGAAATCAAGCTCTGTGGGGATAATTGAATCTTGGAGAGAGATAAGTAGTGATTTGGTTGGTTTTCTAATACTTCAGGTGTGTATCTGAAAAGTCCAGTGTCTTGCAAAAAGGCGTATTCTGACTGAGACAGAAGTTACAGGCTTGATACAGAAATCTGAGTCTGTGGCCTGTGTCAGGCATGAGATCTGTCTGAGCAGTTAGAACAATCCCTTTGAATTCAAATGCATTAATCTGGTAAAATTTGTGATGGCTTTCATGCTTATCTTTCAAGGATGTTTTTCCTGCTCATGTCTGTGTTTCCTAGCAGGGAAGAGCCTGCTCTCATTAGCACATATGCCTGTTGCTACTCAGCCTTCTGCTAGAATGTGTTTGCTTCAACACAACTGAACTGTTGCAGGAAACATAATCAGTGTTCCTGTCTTTACTGCCCAGATGACTCTGAAAGTTAGTTTTATCCAAAACACTGTATTCTGATACCTATCTCTTTTTCTAGAAAAGAACTTGATCTAGATAAAAGAACAGAATTGTGAAACATCTCAAAATACTCTTACTGCAGACAGCTTTTAAGATATCTAACAGATGGTGTATTTGAACTTGTTGCCTGCTTTAGCTAATTCACTCTGATTCATATCGACACAGCAGGGTGAATGGAAATGGAATTTCTGTGGGTTTTGGAGTATCAGATACACAGGTTTGTTTAGGGTTTGAATAGCATCACAGCTGAGCTTGAAGGGAGAAATTTTTTTTTGTTCTTATATCAAGACAGTAAGGAATATACGCATCTGTATTTCGGAAAAGTAGTATGACTTCTAACCCATCACCTTCTTCTGTCTCTCGTAGGTGGGTGGCTTATGAGAATCCTGAGTTCACGGGGGAGCAGTATATACTGTCTAAAGGGCTATATCCCAGCGTGGAGGCATGGGGGGGAAAGAACTGCAAAATATCTTCAGTTCAACCCATAATGATGGTAAGAAGTTAATTCTGTACTTTTTTGTAGTGTCTCTCATGCATTTGGACTCTTTCTATCAAATTCAGTTTATTTATATTCTTTAAACAATAATTAGAATAATTAAATTAGTAAACTTTTGTATGCTTGTTATTTTACCACTGTTTAAAATATTTTTCCCCCTTTTGCAGGATGTTGTTGGAAGCAAAAGGAGTAAAGTCAAGGTAAGATACTACTTTAAGTGCATGGAACATACTGTGTAGTGCCTGCAACATATAAATAAAGCAGTGGTTTTATGTCTGTTGTAACACCCAGGTATTTGCATAGATGGTTGACTAGTTAGACAAAGAGTGAGAACTGTAGGTGGAGGAAGGCTGCTTTCCAAACCTCTTAAGTAAGGTGCATTAAGGCCCAGGGAGGGTGGGATTTAATACAAAACTGCCAGCAGAACTCTCTCAGGGCACAGGCAGTGTTTTGGTTCAGCAAGTGAGCTGTTTTGGGGTGTTCCTTCTGAGGAGCTGGAGCACACAGCCCTCTGCGCAGGGGTGTAGGTGCCTGGATTCTGTTGCCTAGGCGAGGGCCTTGCAAGTTAGATGATGTTGTTCGTGGTGCAGCTGTGACTTAGTTCCTTTTGAATCTCATGGTGGTTGCACTTTAAGAGAATCTTGTTCACTCACAAATCCTGCTGAGTTGTGCTTAGAAGCTCGTGCCGCCTTTGTCAATAAGTAAGCGAAGGCAGTGGCAGAGAGAACTTGTCTGTTCAGTGGGTTAACACGTTTTTACATTGGACTGTCTCCCATGTGCAAGTACTAATACGTCGTGTTGACGGTGAGGCTAATGGGCGGCTTTTGTCATCCTTTCATAATATTGAACCTTTTGCATGTTTATCCCTGTACAAAGTCGCTTCTGTTTTCATTTTAGTCAAAATGGTAAGTATGTCATGGAACTAAAAACTGGGGAGATAAGTCCTAGCGGTCTCGTTTTTCATTCTTCATTAGTAGCACACCTCACTGGAAGCACAGGGATAACGTACAAACTGTGGGGAATAAAAATCCCAAGGTTGCTTGTTTTCAGCTGTGTGCATGAAAAGCTATTTGCACCTATATATTCCATTCTTATTAGGACCTTATCCTAAGGAAACCAAGAAGTAATGGCTTGTAGTCAACAAACTGCATCCCTCGTCAGCATGTTCCTCTTTGGAGAACGTTGTACATGCCCACACTCGTATCTCTGTTAAGAGTGAATAAAGCTGGTAGGCATGTGATAATGACTTCTGTGTGATCAGAGTTAATTATCCTCTAACTAAATTAGCAGGTGTGCTGCTTAGAAATTTTTTCTTTCCTTTTTAACAAGGACAAAAGACTCTGGATGACTTATCCTCTCTTATCCTCTGAGCAGAGAAAGAATAACTGACTAGAGCTGTAACAGACACATAAAGCCCATCTACCCTGGGAATATATACCATGCCTGTTGGCATGCTCTCAGAGTACTTCGCCAAGATTATACACCATTCATGATCTGAGAGACAGTTTTCATTTAATGGGAAGAGTATGTATTTTGGAGATTAAATGGATTAATAATCTAAACCAAAACCATTTATGGCCCTTTAGTAAAGATGTGCCTATTCTCGCCATTTTGTGGGAATTTAAGAAGTCGTATCCAGCAGATAGTCCAAGGAGGTATCTTTGTTAGTGTTTGTTTTAATTATTTTGCATGTTACTGAGGGATTTACAGCCAGGAGTAGTTTTTGGTATTGCTACCTTGCTGTCTTGAACAAGGATTGTGACACTGAAGAGGTAATAAAAATACATGTAACTGAGGAAGTGTGTGTGTTTTAAGTATGTTTAAGTGATGTAATTATAGAAGTAATGGTAGAGATCTATTACCGAAGGTTGAAGAATGAATTGTTTTTAAATATGTTCATAACTTTTTAAAGGTCCAGTTATTTTCAGAGCCTGAATTCAAGGGTAACTGCCAAGTATTGGAAAAAAATACAAGATGTATTGATTCATTTGTTGTGAAGTCTTCAAAAATTTTAGATGGCAGGTAAGTTTTATTGAATGAATATTGCAAAATCACTAAAATGGTGAAAGTTCTAAAAAAGCAAGCAGCTTTCTAACACCTGAAGTGGTTCCCTATGTGAGGACTTAAAAGAACAATGCTTTGCAGTATAAACATCAGTCTTTAGCTTGTCAGGACAAAGCATTGTAAATAATGTTTCTGTTGATAGCTCTTGCTAGTGTTTCTCAGTCTTCAGCATAATTTTACCAGAACAGAATTCTTAAGAGGCGATATCTTCTTCCTCCTGTAGCTGCATAGTGTATGACGAGGAAGAATTCTCCGGTAACCAGTATGTGTTAGAAGAAGGAATCTATCCTGATCTGATGGCAATGGGTTGTTCACCCCAGGCGGTTCTAAAATCTTTACGGATTATAAATATTGTAAGTAAAGCTACTAGAAATACTGTAAAGGTAAAGTACAACGATGACTCTGACCTCCCCTTTTTTTGCAACAGGAAAAATGTTAGGGGTGCACAGACCACGGAAGAGTATTTCTATGTACATTTTTTTTTTTTTTTTCTATGCAGTAGCAGTGAAATGCCCTAGCTGCAGTCAGTTTCTTTGACCTCCGTGCTGTTTTTGCCAAGGAGAGGACATCACAGAAGCAGCTGCCTGGGATCACTGTTCTTAATAACAGATTATAAAAGGAATCCTGTAAAAAGTCAAGGATGTGTCAGACTCTCTGTCTCCCAGTAGGAGAGACCACTTAGAGTGGGTTGAGAAATGTCAGTAGGACACTATGAAGAAACATCTCTCCTGTGGACCTTGTTTTTAATGCATATTGAAAAAGCAGACTTACCTGAGCCACTTTGCATGAAATACGTGTAATTATAAAACACTATTGCTATCATCAGGGAAATGTAATTTGAGTTAATCACGAAATAATGCACCCTTCTAGATAAAGTAAAGCAACACCCAACGCCATTTGGCAAAATCAGACAGCGTTGTGGTTACGCGTGGTGGATAGACACTAAACAGCATTTACATGTTTTGTAACTCAGCAGTGGTGAGGGACGAGTTTGCTCAAGCCTATAACCAATCATTATCATGGATCACTTGGGGAATCTACAAGTATCTTTTAAGATCAAAGTAATTAGTAGTAAAATGTGGTCAAGAATCCAGGAACTTACAGCAATATGAAGAGATGGTACTAATTTCAAAAAAGGAGGAGTACCCTATTGACTCTCATCTTTGAATTTGGCAACTTTATTGCACTCCACTGTAATTCTGGTAACGAGTCAGTGATGTAGCAGTTGACGAACTAAAATGTGTCATCCTCTTTCATGTCTCTGGAGCATTTTGATGTAGAGTGTAAACAAACATCTGCAGCAAGCATGTCTGCCTTCTGAACGCTTTGGCTGTCCAGCAGACAGATCCTATTAAAAGCAATAGAAGTGTTTCTAGCCAAGCTTAGTGGGTGATCACCGTGAATTAAAATAGGGTCTTTTGTACATGTCAGTATCGAGTTCTTGGGTTTAAAAGGCTTGTTTCAAGCTGGAAAGGTCAGATTACTTTTGGAAGATTTATCGTTAGTGACAGAGACTATTGAGTTAAAACAGCTAAATGCCCGTTCTGTGCCTTTTTAAGTTCTTACAACTTCTGAAACTTGTTCTAGCCCTAAAATTTATCACACTTCAGGCAATAGCAGAGAGCTGCATCTGTCTGCAAGTCACGTGCTGCTGCGTCCTTCTTCAGAGGCTTCCTACCTGTGGAGAAGGGGAAAATGGGTTGCTTTGCTCAGCAGTTTATTAGACAACCAGAATACAGAGAGTAAGAATTTAGGTGGAAATGATCATATTATACCGTTCTTTTTTCATAATTTTACAAAAGCTTGAGCCTTCTTATTCTAGATACTGGTTTCACCTGTCAGATTTATTTTTGGGAGTGTTCTTTTTGGCAGTGCCGATCTTCATTCCTCCCCACCATCTGCTGTTCCTGTAACTTTCCTCTTGATTTTTCTGTGACATTTCTGTACAAGAAGCACCTTTGCTATTTTAATATGTCACATTACTATACTTAGTTAGTTTAACTCCCCTTTTCAGGGATCCGTTTCTAAGGGACCATAAAACAAGGAAATGAAAGGGATCTAAACCTGGAAGCGAAAGCTAGAAGGACTTTTGTGCATGAGCTAAAGGTTTTGAGGTTTTTATACCCCTGTATGTTTGCTTGATTGTGCTTGCTTGCATGCTCCACATGGTTGTACTGCCAGCAGAAAATAGCATTTTTCCTTCTTGAATGTGCTACGTGTTCTTTTTCCTGAACATACTATAAAAACAACTGTGAATATGATTTATGCTTCAACAGTCAGGCTGAAAATACTCTGTGAAATAACTAATGTAGGTACAGGTGCTCTGTGAAGTGCAGTACATGGGAAGTACCCAAAGAAAACTCATGAGCTGACCTTGCACTTCTCTCTGTGGGGAACGTTTTATGTAACAGTGTTGCTGCTGAATCTCAAAAATGCCCAGAGTGGAAAGAAGGTGTGGCAGAAAATTGGAGGATTTCCTTTCCTGGCTGTGTGTTTTCTTTCTAAGTAGATTATTTCTGAAGCACTGCATATGGCTTCAGGGTTGCTGCCTGACCAGTTGCGTGTCTCGGAGTGCAGGTCTGTCAAAGGGATCAGAGACACCAGGACATCCTCGTGGTGCGACTGTTCCTGTTGAGCTCTTTCACCTGTGATGAGACATGACAGTCTTAACTAGTGTTAACCTTTCATGGTGGGGATGAGCATCCTCTGATTTTGCACTAAGCTGAAAGGCCTCTCCTGGCATTTTCCTCAGCCTAGCAGCGTGCGTGTGGTCAGCTGCTGTGCGATAACCTGGACTGCTGCAGATGTAATGGTGACGCTCATCCAGCGTCGTCATCCGGGCCCTTGAACATCTAAAGGAAGATGAAAGAGGAATTTAAGCACTATCTAGAAATTGGTAGATGTGAGGTCTTGCCTAACAAAGTCACAAGGAAGCATGGATATCTGCTGCCATGTGTGTATGGAGCCACCTCTGCCTTGGAGGGCCTGTTTCCATGCCTGAGGCCAGATGGGAGTGTGTCGAGACTCCACGTCATGTCGGGCGTTGCTGATCCAGCTGATGTGTTCTGAGTATGCTGAACCAGGAAGAAGGAGCTCTTCTGGCTGTGGTGGTGGCTTTATGCCGCGGTTGCTGGAAGACTTGCGAGAAAGGGAGTGTCATGGTCGTTTCTGTCTATTGGCGTAAACTGTAACACCAGGGCTCTCGGGCTTAATTGGCTTTACCCTGAGGGATTTCAAACCCTTACCTCCCAGCTTCCAGGGAAGGGCCTTCATTGTGAGAGGTTATTTCCAGTCCACAGATGCCTTGCCATGCAGAAGTCCAAAGTTTGTTATCCAGAAGACATTTAAAATGGATTCAGTGATGCAGGGAGCTTCATGTGGGCAGAATCCCATTGACACCAGAAGTGTTTTGACAGAGAGGGAGAAGAATCATCTCCCCACGGCAGTTTGGAGGGTTTGGATGTTAGAGTTTTTGGTTGAGTCATGAGTTTCACCTTAGAATTACGAATCTTGAAGCTTTTGTCTAGTCAGAGATTGATGTTGCCATAACCTACTAGAAGAGTTAAAAATGAGAGCAGCAAGTGATAAGCAGTGCTGACAAGGCTGTCATCATTTGAAGATGAAAATTCCTACAATGAGTGGGGTTTAGTGCAGTGGAAGTGGTATATGGCATTAATGAAAATGTGTTTTAAAACGTACTTAAGGTGCAAGAATCAACCACAGAGACATTTGTGTGTGCCTTAAGATAAGGAAGTTTTATGTTCCATGCAAGAGGATCCCTTGTGTGTTTTGTATAAGGGCTTTTTAATTAATTTTTTGTTTATTTTAAGTTACCGGTTGCAGAGCAAAAATATTATTCAGGGTCTTTGATCTTAAACAAGAAGAAACCTCTGAAATAACAGGGCTGTGTGGATTTATGATGTTCACAGTCACCATCTGGAGTTCTAACATCCTTTAAAGGTGCTCATCTTCCTTTTGCAGGAGCTGTCTGAGCCATGCATAGCTCTTTTTGAAAAGGTGGGTTTCCAAGGAAAGAAAATCGAATTCAGTACGGAAATCTTCAATCTCCAGTTCCTGGGATACAGTCCTCGAATAGCTTCAGTTCAAGTCCTTGGTGGCATGTAAGTTTAAAATCACTTTTTGATTCTTTAGAATGATGTACTTATTCAACAGAAAAATCACAGGTGTTAGAAACCAGGGAGTATAAATTTAGAATCCCCTAATGCATGCAGTTTCTTTGTACAGAACCTTGGCACATCCTGTTTCAACAATGTGCTTTCACTGTCTGGTCCTCTGTGCTAGAAGTTGAAATGATTTTGAATAAAGCTCACAAGGAAACTGGTGTCTTCTCTCATGCCATGTTAGAAATGCCAGCTCACGTAGCATCCTTACACCACCTTCTGTGCTCTTGGTGTAGGTCTCAATCATTCAGCTTGTGATCTGATAAGTTCAAAACATTTTAATCAGTCTTCACTTTCATCCTTTTCCCTAGATGTTATGGACACAGTGGTACAGTCAGATCATGATCTGGCCCCTTTTGGCATTAGTAATAATCCCTTTTACTTCAGGAATTGGGTCAGGCCCTTGGGTGTAAATCTAGTAGTTATATTCGTTAGCTGTTTTTAAGCAGTTGTGTTCTCTAAATTTACTTTTGAAGATCGTGTAAAAAATAGTCTGTGAGGAAGCTTAGAAATTGTCTGGAAGCATTTTGAAACTACTGGTTTCAAAAACTGCCTCAAATTACTGTTTGAAAACTTCTTCCAGTGCAGCAGATCTGTTACATTTCTCTTTTTGCATGTGTTCCTGTTGCCAACCTCCACCTCTAAGATACTTGCCCCAGGTATTTCCTAACTTGAAAAATGTGACTTATTTTTTAACTTTTTAAAACGATAGATCCGTGTTACTGTTGCTTTGCATTTAAATGAGTTCTTCTGAAGAGGTGAATCTCCAAGGTGTGTGCTAGAGAGATGCTGTTGGATAGCTTAAGACTGCCCTCAAGTGGAGAGCCAAGACCAGGACCCATCTTTCCTGGATGGGTCCAGGAAACTTTTCCCCATCTGGATGAGATTTCCTTGGCACACTGGGCTGAAGTTTGAAACATAAAGGTCCTAAGAAAAGAATACGTGCTCTGTATTCGTAAGTTTCTGGAGATTTTTCAGTGTCTTCACCATAATCAGAAGGTAGTTGATTCTCACTTTCCATAACATGAAGTCAAACATGAAGTCACTTCTTTGCCAAGAGCCTGGTTACTGTGATTGCAGGTAGCAGTGTTGTGAATTGCATGCATTTCCTCATTGATTCCTGGAAACGTATAGGGTGTGATAGGAACATTCTGATTGCATTGTAGTAGTGTCAGCTGCTTAAATGTGTCAAAATAGAGGTTTGAGAGGGTCCTTACCCCTACTGCCTCCTTTATTGAACGGGTTTTTGTCTCCTCTTCCTTTGCTACGTGACATCAGTTTATAGTTATCTTAATTTCATACCTGGGGATAGATGTGTATGAGGCTGTGGAAAAAGCACCAAAATTAAGGTGAGTGTGCTTCTCCTGGATATAAATGTCTGCTGACAAACCAGTCAGAGGCAAGGAGGTAACAGGAAAATGTGTGTGCTGAGTATTCATGTTCACAAAAACCTATGGCCATTGGACAGTCCCAGCAGATCAGCGGGAGAAAACTCAACGAATTGCACTGTATTGCAGCCTGTTCCAAAGTCTAGTTGTGATTCACTGCCTGTGCCAATAGGAGAGACGCAGAAGTCTGGTTCTGACAGGCTGCTCTCAATGTGATTGTCAGCGTGGTTGGATGTGTGCTAGGGAATGCTAAACAAAATCTTTCTATATGCTTTTCTCTCTCTCACATCCCCCCCCCCTCAACTTTCCCCACCCTTCAGTTATTTGAAAAGAAGGGTGTTCTGAAAGAAAACCTCTATCAAAATAGCCTGGAGAATTTCACCCTGTTGCAGTTCCAGTATTTTCTTCTTGCATTCCGCATCCCTAGTAGTTCTTTCCCATGTGGGTCAGGCCTGTGTTAAGGTACACAGACCGCCTAGTTCTGCACGCGCAGCAATGTAGCACGTGTCGCATACGCCGCAGACGCAGCATATACCGGTGTGCCCCTTGAGGGGTAACACCACCTGCTGAAAACAGATGTTATTTAAAAGTGGGGTTTGCCCTTTAAGGCAAGAAAATGCTTTGTTTCATTCAGCTTGAAATTGTTATGTAACAAGACTTTAGAATGTGAACTCTAGTGTACTACTCATCTTAATGCACTTGATCCAAATTGGGACCCGGTTTTAAAAAGAAGGTTATTTGCTTTCTAAAAGTAACCACTACAACTTTGTGGGACAGATTTCCTTGACTCCAAAGCAGGACTTGGCAGTAAAAGCATTTTTTTTTTCTTCTTTTTTTCCTCACAGATGGATACTTTATGAGCACAGTAATTACAGGGGGCGTCAGATGTTGTTGTCACCGAATGAAATTCCGGATTGGTATAAAGTGAGTGGCTATGACCAGATAGGTTCTCTGAGACCTTTACTGCAGGTGAGCACACTCTGACGTGAGGCTGCCAAGTACTAATTTATATTTTGTAATGCGGTTGGGGGGATATTACAGAGTTGAAAGCGATGTTACAGTCTTGAGGGATCTGGGAAGCTTCAGTTATGGCAACTGTGTAAAGAAATTGCTTTACAGTGTTGCTTGTTAATAAAAGCTATTGGATTATGCTGCGTGCTGTGCAGTTCTACTGCTTAAACTGTTCATTAAGCATGTTTGAAACTGAAGTATAGAAGACAGCATATAAGGGTTAGCGAAATTATTTTAACAGGTACTAGCTGTAACTACTATATATATGAATTATTTTAAGCTGTAGTGCCCGAACTGGTCACTGTCCTACTGTCTGTACTATCTGCATTATTTATGGAACAACAAGAAAATTGGTCAACAAAATTGGATCCTTCAGTTAGAGGTGATTTTATGTTGATTCGTGGGGAGAGGCCTTCGCTGCTTATTACTTGGCAGAATAATGTGCACATTAATGCAGAGCTTAGTGTCCTTTTCATTTTGTCCTCTAAATAAAGACTGCATGATTTGGCCCAGTGGTGCAGCAGTCCTGCAAGCTTTAACACTTCGGCATCTTGCTGAGATGTATTTTGTTGAGGAAACAGCTTTTTCTAAGTCAGAGATTGCTTGTACCTGTAAGCGTTTGCTTGCTGTCACAGCCTTGTCTTTGTGTAGCCCTAAGCAGAGCTGGGAATGTGTTTTGACTGCTCTGGCTGAGGGCTTGTCTAAACAGAAACGTTGATGTGTAACAAGCCGCCGCATGAATGTGCAGTGTAATACTTGCTGCCAGTGAGAAAAGCAGCACTGCACAAGTGCACCCTTGGTGAAAGCCAAGAGCATTTATACAAGAGCTCAGCAGAGAGAAGCTGGTGCTGCTCTGAATCAAACGTGCTTAGCTGTCCACTGTGTGCTGATCTCCATGCACAGGAAGGCCTAAAACTCTCCATGCAGAATGGCGCGTTCACGCAGCTCGGCTTGTCCTAGACGTTTGTGGACTTTGGAATTAAATTCTAAAATAGAGAAGTTCAGCTTTCTGAAAGAAAGAGGGGAGGCACGGGGTTCAGCACTGAACAGTAATTGCTGTGACGTTAACCAGGGCAGGACGTGTTCGGCACTGAGACTGTGGTTAGAGTTGTGTTGTTTTCTGCAGAAACGTGTGTACTTCAGGCTTCGAAACAAGGAAACGGGAAAATTCATGTCAGCTGATGGAAACTTAGACAATCTGAATCTTCTTAGAATACAGGTTGCAGAAGATACAGACTCAGATGACCAAATCTGGGTTTATCAAGATGGATTCATAAGGTGTCGGGTGAGGTTCACGTTCAGTGTGAATTTTCTTTTCCTCTCCAATAGTAGGGCTTTCTGTTTCTACTGTATCAGCTTAATCCATTTTACAAGCTTATTCTGTTTCAGCTCTAATACTATCTTTTTGGTTTGTGTGTTTTTTACACTTCTTTATTGAACTCTAGCTTTTTCAGGAGGTGCAAACTAGTTGTGTGATTCGTTTTTTTGATGTAATTGAAATTTTGAGAGATTTTAGTTACGATTTACTTTTCCCTTGAAGAACAGTAGCCTTGTAGGTGCAGTCAACACCAGAATATCATCGTCTTGCTGTTCATGAACTCCTTTGTGATACGTGGAAGTATCGTGCCTTCTTTCTCCACAGTGAAAATTCCACACAAGCGTCAAAGCAGGGGAGACCTTTTAAAATGCAGATCCTTCCTTATAATGTTTTGGAACTGTGCATACCTCGTGGTAGGCTGATCAGTGTAATGTAGGCTATATCTTCTTCTGCATTCAGGCAAGACTAAAGATCAAAAGCCTGAAGAGTAGGATTTTGGGGTTTTATTTGTTTGGTTGTTGTTTTCCTAGTTATCCCTTTATTTGTCAAATTCGTCCCTTTTCCATTCCTCTGTACAAGTTTCCAAATGAAGTCCTACTTTTCTCACAGTCCATAGAACTGATCACGTGCGAATTGTCATCGAGGTGAGCAGAGGTATGGCAGTTCATAACACTTAAGCATGATCACCCTTAGGTAGGGATGCCGGCCCAGGAAAATTAAGTTACTTTAATACTGTTAAACACCTTGACTGCAAAGAATCATGTGAACTTTTTCTATAGGATTGTATAACTTCAAAGGAGCCATTTATAACTATGTCATCTGTGCTGGAGGGAAAATCTTACTGTTAATAAGCTAAGGCATTGTTTGGACATGTTTACAGGACACACGCAGTGGTAAAAAGGATTTACGTAGACAGCAGAATGGTGCAAAGTAAGCTGAAAGCTTTAATGTCACACACAAAGGACTTGTCTCTCGACAGGGCCCCTCAAACATTTCACTGAAAGCATTCATATCGAGACAGGGTGGCATTATGTGGCTTTGGATAAATACTCCTGGGTTTTGTCCCCATCTCTCTGTCTCATAAAGCAGTTTTTCTGCACAGAAAACACACGGCTCGTGCTGTACAGCCATCAGGTAGCGTAGTGTGGAGTGCAAGCTGGCAACGTTGGTCTGTCAGAGCTCTGCCATCTTTCTCCTGAATGGCAGAAAAGGTATTTTGCACAAAAAAAAGGTTTTCACCACATTTTAAAAAGAAAATTAAGCGAGTGGGTGGGTGGGTACGTGCACAGAGACAGACACAGGTCATTGGAAGAACTTGTGCCTTTTTTCCCGTATGCTTAGGTCATCTCACTGAGTGAGTCACGGTACCTTGAGGTGTGCCTGAGGTTTGCAAGGAAGGGCTGTACTGGGGAGGTGGGATAACCAGTGAGCAGGATATGAAAGTCATCCTGCTCACTTAGTCAGAAACAGAGATGAACAGCAGATACGATTCAAGTCTCACTCTTGGTGAGTTTCTGGGAGATGGGTGAAGGCAGTGGCCAGGGGACCTAATGTCCTGGAGCCTCCCACGTCCCACTAGAGAACAGTTTTAGATACAGATGAGACTTGCAGAACTAAATCGGCCTCCTTCAGTTCTAGGGTATGATAGTACAAAGCAGTACTTTTTCAGAACCGGATATTTAATAATTTAGGGCCACATCAGCAATGGGAGATGGGTGTTTGTTTAATCTGCCACTGAAGTTGGTTCAGAAGTTACAGGGTGGCGTAAGGGGATCTACTGAAAACCACTGTTCACACAGAATAATTAGCATACCACTATTACAGCCTTAATGTTCTTTTTAATTTTTGCCAGTTCATTTTTTAAGACATTTGCACAGCTTTGAAATCTAGTAACACAGGTGACTGAGAAAAAGAATACAGAACAAAGAAGGAAATATTATTGTGACACACTGTGAAATTCATACACGCGATACTGGGCACTTATGTCCTTTATCTCAAAAGGCTATTGCAGAACTAGAAGTGATTAAAGACTGAAAAAAAGGATGTGAAGAGGAGATGGAGAGCTTCTATGCAAGGAAGAGACGAAATATCTAGGACTTTTTAGCTTGCAAAGGGAATAGTTTGAGGGATGATATGATTGGAGTCTCTGCAAACAGCATGGACAAGACATCCCTTAAAATGATGGGGAGAGAGGAGAGCACCTGATAAAACTAGTAGTTGCCTATCAAATTATTTATTTTTAACAGGACTAGTGAAAACTTGGAATGGCTTGCCACAACAGGGTTATGATACAGAAGGGTGTTCATGTAAAAGGGTTACACTGAGTCACTACTCACTGAGATCACAGATTCACATACAGGACACAGACTGTTGGAGTATTAAAGGTCTCAGCCTTGCATGGAAAAGTCTCTGGGCTGGAAATTGCTGTAGACTGGGAGAGATTACCAGGAACGTACTGCATACAAGAGCAGAATGAACGTAACCTTCCATGGCATCTGTTATTGGCCACTGCTAGAGGCAGGTGCTAATTGTACCTTTCGATGTGATACAGCATGGTTATTTTAATGCTCTTATCTAGTGGAGAGTGTCAGCAGAAATAGGAACAAAAGAAAAATAAGCAGTATTGAGTTTGGGGGCAAAAAATACATTCCTTTAGGGAAAGTAGTTCCTAGATTCTCTTCTCACCTGCTGACATCTCTCTGATTAAAAACCACTGGATTCTAGAAGTAAGGCTGTTTTGAATAATTGCTGTTGCCTTTCTGATGACACAGATGGCAGAGGATTGCTGCTTGACAATTGTTGGGAATCTCATAACTCCTGGCTCTAAACTCGGTCTGTCATTTGAGCGGAACGAAGACAAACAATATTGGCATATTAGTCCCGATGGCAGGATTTATAGCAAGATGAAACCCCAGCTGGTTTTAGATATCAAAGGTAAGCAAATGTGTTATCTCATTACATTGTGTCTTAATTACATGGTATTTACAGTGGGATAGGCACTGAACGTGCCTATAAATTAAGGACGGTGTTGTAGTTACTTTAATCTAGAATCAAAAAAGACCCGATTAGCTAGTCTGACCTCCTGAATGATACAGGCCCTAGGACTTCATTTCATTTTTCCTACATGGAATTTAGTAACTCAGTACTTGCTTATCTTGTATTCCCAGTGTCCACTCACTGTAGATATCCTCAGTTAATTTTACATGGCACTGGCTGATGTGAATTTAATTATTTAAAATGCTGAAGCAAGAAAAACCTAACTTCTTATTAACTTTAATTTGTATAGAGCAAATTTTCTTACGTAGTAGTGGTAGGTGCAATAGCCAAAGGATCTTAGGAAAGCGAAGGCAGGCTTGTACACTGATGTGATTAGAAGGAAAAAGTTTTTCCATTTGTTTATTAATGGCTAAACCTTTATTGTGAACATGAGATTCTGCCACAGCAGCCTGAGGTCTGTGCGCACTCGATATGTGTGTTCACAGTCGCTGTTGTCACAGCAATTTGATTCATGTAGATAGTGTTTCTGAACTTCGGTTTCATAGAAGGTCTGAAAAAGGGATGCCATCCAGAGGGACC